AGTAAAGTTTATTTGTCTTATTATCAATATTATCAAATTAATTTGTTTCATTTATCTCTCGAATATATATATATACATATACAACAAAATACAGCGATAATGAACACGCAACCACCCCTTGTCTAGATGAATGGATTTCTCTGTATCTTTGGAAACGTGAATTAAGATATTTTGCTGTGCCTTTAAAACCTAGTAATAAGTTTTTTTTTACTACAAAATTCGCTTGAGGATGAAATGGAACTAATGTATTTTAATTTAATTACAAAATTAAATTCGTAGCTTTTAGCTTCCATTTTTGAAACATGGTTAGAACTGTGTAGTGGAAAAACCATATTTTAAACCATATTTTAAATCAATTAATATATATATATATATATATATATATATATATATATATATATATATATATATGACGTTTCATTGAATATGACAGACACGGTGATTTAGTTTTTAATTTTTTGTTTTCGGAGGATAAATTGTATAAAAACTGACCGAATGTTCTTTCTTTCCGAGCGCTTTCGGTTATACATTTAGCCATTTTGAAGGTTGAAATATATTAACTGTTAGCAAGAAATAGATTGTTTTATGTATGTATTCATATAATGTTTAATTTTCAAAACACGGTCAAGATATTATGTCCATGTTCATAGTTGATATTTTAAGTGTTGGTTTTTAATAGGGATTACATTATTTCTCACCATTTTTTTTACATGTAAACTATACTATTATTATATCTGCATTACGATTAGCCATTTATATATATATATGGCATATAATTCCCTGCTATTGAATTCCTGATCAATCAAAATTCGTAAATAATTATATAGACTACATCTACAACAATGTTAAAAATAGATCCCATTTAAATACTCATAAAAAAGTGAGGTTTCCATGGAATATTTAAATGTTGTTTGAAATTTTTCATAAATGGTCAGAAAAGATGTATTAAAAGTCTTCTTGTCAAACATGTTGTAGTGTATTCTATATAATTATTTAATTATGATTGATATATAATACAATTTTTATGGAATTATATATAACTATATATATATTTTTGTCTATTAAAAGAAAAACATGCTAAAAAACTACAGCTTTAACATGTGTTATGTTTCAACACTGTCCATGGTAAAAATACTTTTAAATAAAATGTTAAATAAATTGGAATTATATTGCATTTATTCTCATTTACTAAGGATATATATATATATATATATATATATATATATATATATATATATATATGTGTGTGTGTGTTTGTGTGTGTGTGTGTGTGTGTGTGTGTACATCTGACGGACTATTGTCCTCATCTTTGTAGAAATACGAATTTTAATCACAACGACCAAATTCAATTGTTCAAGATAAAGGTTTTTCTTCAGTTGGTTGGAATGTCGAACTGAACCCTTTATTGCGCATTTGGCGTAGTGATTCTAGATATACAGTGCCTTTTGTCCTCGAGTACACAAGGCACAGTTCCAAAAAAGCGTTAGTTAGACCCAGTAACAGGATCCAAAGCGTGTGACTGCAATACCTGCTTAAGCCATTGGAGAACTTAGTGAGGTGAATTAACAGGAGATACCTGATAACTGCCATCCATTAGACATAGCACGTCGAAGTAGAACAGTCTACCCCAGCGAGCGAAATGAATGTTTCAGTTTGACATTCCAACCACCTGAAGAAGGCCGTAGCGTACAACGCCTGAAACGTTGTGATAAATATGGCAACAAAGATGAGGACAGTAGTTCGAATAATGTAAATAGTCCAGATAATACCTCATTTCTGAAATATAGACACACACACACACACATACACACACATATATATATATATATATAGTGTGATTAAATATATATATATATATATGGTTATATACACTGTTAAACTGCATTTCCTCCATCATTTGATTGTAATACACGAAAAAATATTGATTAATATGATAAATAATAAAGTATGCTAAAATAAGAGAGACACAATGTTTGTAATTTATTTAATCCGACACGCTTAAATGAGTTGAATTCGCTAGATGTAAACACAAGTTTGATGTTAACAATTTAAAGAAGAAGAAGAAGAAGAAGAAGATGAGGAGGTGGAGAAAGAAGAAGAAGAAGAAGAAGAAGAAGAAGAAGAAGAAGAAGAAGAAGGAGAAGAAGAAGAAGAAGAATGGAAAAACCCGGTCAGAAACGCCTAAACTGTCGTCTGTATACAATCGTTTTCTTTGATCAAAATTTAAAAACTGTCTTCATTGCCAGAAGCGTGTAGGTCTTAACAAGGAACATCATTCTTCAAACCTTGTGGACTGGCGCTAACAAATCACGCACAAAGAACTATGCCAAATAACAGACACCACATCAGTGATTTCAACAGCAGAAACAATTTCTTAATATCGTACATGCAACTTGTAAACCATGTTCACCATAGTCTATGAATATAGAATTCAATGCAGTACGTAATCTGTTTAATGAAAGAAGGTTAAAGATTAATACTCTCGAGTCGGGCACTCTACTGAATCTGACTATATCGCCAATACCAGCAGCAGCAGCAGCTGTTCCGTAATTCTTCAGTCTTCGATATCAAAGGTTGGCCGTAAGTATTCGGGAAAAAAACATGGCCGCCTTTATACACGTTGCATTGAATATTTTGAGCCTTCTGATTGGTTAACGCTTCTATTGGTGAACTGTAAAATGAGTCAGCTCATATTGGCTGGCTCACTAGTACCCCAAAATTCCAACACAACTCAAAGAAAAAATAAAGACATAATTAAGATGATGACGTTCTACACTACTTCGAAGAAAAGGTTAGAAAGGAAACGCCTATCAATAATGGAAAGATCGATAACAGTTATTGGACGTAATATAACCTATTTTCCTGAAAGAAATATTTTGAGAGAGAGATTTCATATATTTCGACCGATTGCAGCACTAGCGGCTCGGCTAATAAATATAACCAAAAGCTGTAAAAAATCCCTAAAATGAAAATCCCTAAAATGAAAATCCCTAAAATGAAAATCCCCAGAAAATGACAAGCTCCCCAACTTTTGGCTGTATCGCCTGTCATCCGTCCATAAAACTCTTGCCGAAACTTTATCAATGCTAATTAATAACCCGATGAAATTCCAGTATGGATCACTAAAGGTATTACATATCCCCTACAAAAAAGCGAGTGAAACAGAGGATTCAAAAATTATAGACCAATAACATGACTGCCCACCAGCTATAAATTTATCCTGTCTGTCATGACGAACTGTACTTACTTTTTTCTCGATGAAAGCAACATTCTTCCTCTGGGACAGAAGGGATGTAGATATGTTCATAAGGTTACAAAGATCAACGACTAATAAAGGAAATGATCCTGGAAAATTGTAGGAAAAAATGTAGAAATCTCAGCACATCTTGGATAGATTACCGTAGAGCCTTTGATAGTGTGCCACACTCTTGGATCCTTAACGCCTTGGAAATGTATAAAGTCTCTTCAGTGATAGTAAATTTCCGTAAATCTAACATGAATCCGGAAAACCAGATTATACCTAAATATATTGCCAATTCCAATTGATTGAATATCCGACGAGAAATCTTCCAAGAAGACTCCTTGTCATCCCTTTTGTTCTGTCTGTCCTTAATCCCCCTTCGACATGAACTAAACAGTAATAACTCCGAAAACAAAGTAAAAAAAGAATGTGTTTTATTACTTATTCTATATGGATGATATTAAACTCTTTGCCTAAGACGAAAATGAATTCAAGGTTTACATCAATACTGTAAAATGTTTAAATGATGACATCAGTATGGTTATTAGATTAGATACTTGAGTAAATGTAACATTTAATAAAGAGGTAACTACAGAAACACATTCAACAGATCTAGATCTTGTCAGAAAGGGTAGGTAACTTTCTATTACTGATATATATATATATATATATATATATATATATATATATATATATATATATATTAAAAATTAATTCATTTAAAATATGTTTTTCGCTACACAATTCTAACCATGTTTCAAAAATGGAAGCTAAAAGCTCCGAATTTAATTTTGTAATTAAATTAACATTGAGCACTATTTTGTATGTAAATAAAAAAATATCTATAAGAACACCGGATTATATTTCTTACTGTTCTTTCTTTTTATATATATATATATATATATATATATATATATATATATAGTCCGAATCTTCTTTTATTCTGAGCGCTTTCGGCTATACATTCAGCCATTTTCAAAGATGATCAATTTTAACTGTTAAATAAGAAATAGTTTGTTGCATGTATGTATTTATATGATGATTCCATTTTTGAAAGCTCGGTCAAGATATTGTTTCCATGTTCATAGTTGATATTATTAAGTGTTATTTTTCTTTGCTTTTATTAATAAGGCATCCATTATTTTTAGCCTTTTTTTGCATGTAGATGATACTATTATATTTGTGTTATCAACAAGTATGTTACGAGTGGGGTCCGGTAGAACTCCATGAATATATAAATGAGATCTAATATATACAATTTATTTTAGGATATTAAATCAAAATATGTTAAAAATCGCTACACAATTGCAATTGTTTCAACACTACAAATGTGTCTCCACGGACGATGGTAAAATACTCTGTATTGATCTCTCTTTTAAATCAGAATGAAGAAGAAATCGTCAAACAAAACCAGATGGAAAAGAAGAAGAAAAGAAAAACTAATATCCATGAAGAAGAAGAAGAAGAAGAAGAAGAAGAAGAAGAAGAAGAAGAAGAAGAAAAAGGAAGAGAAGTAGATGAAGAACAGAAAGACAATAATAATTATCGAAGAAGAAGAAGAGAAATAAGAAATTAGTGCGTCGTCGCCTCTTCTATCTTC